CAACGGAAAGAAAAGGAAAGGATTAGTAAAACTCGGCTAAACAAAATCACACGCCTCGAGTAGAGAAGCCCAAAAACTTTACCTGACGTAACGCGAGGATTGCTTAGGAGAAGTGACAGACTCGCCGAGAGAGACGTCAACAATATAGTAGCTTACAAAAGTATTGTACCATTTAAAATTTTTTTAAAAAATTTGAATATCTTATCTATTATTACCTATAGCATAAATAAATTATATCAATTAAAATTATCAATATAAGTATAAGTTTATTGAATAGTATTTGAATACCAATATATTCTAACTTGTATGAAAATTAATAATGAGTTAATTAAAGGTGATATATTTTTTATACTATTTTGTAACATAATATATTTGTTTAAATAAAATTAATAAAAAATAGAAAGAAAATTGTAAGTTCAATTTAAAATTCTTTTTCAGATACATTTATCTCAAATTAAATAAAAAAATATTGATTATATCTAATTTGTTTATAGAAAAATAGACAAAATATTGTATATATACTTATTTACAAAAGATATTCTACTCAAAATCACTTTTATGAAAGGGGTTGCATACTTTACAGAAGTATGTACAAGAAAACTTAATAATGAAACAGATAGTTTCATGAACTGATCCAAATCTGGATATTACCAAATTTAAATAAACGTAATAAATGAAGTATCACCTGTCTTATAACTACCCATGAATGTGTCAGCAGTATATGTTCAAAAAATTTAAATATCAATAAAAATATCAGTATTTATGCTAATATAGCATTACAATGAAACAGTTTGGAAGCAAGAATTAAACAAAAAAAAACACATCTTAAAAAATAAGCACAAGAAATTTTAACTTGCTTTTGCTAAGAAATATTGTAATTTAACTGTTAATGATTAGGAAAATGTAGTTTTTTCTGATGAGAGTAAATTTCTTATTTTTGGATTGGATAGACATAAGTACTGTTGGAAAAATCCAAAAAAACTGCTAAAAAGTTAACATGTACAACCAACAGTAAAATTCAAAGGTGGAGGTATTATTATATGGTATTACTTTATGTTATATAGTGTTGGCAACCTTTGTCTCATTGAAGAAAAATTGAATGGTAAGGAATACAAAAAAATACTTACAAACGAATTTATTGGAACCTTAAACCAGTATGATTTGAGTACTCAAGATATTATTTTCAATATGATAATGACCTCAAACATATCACAAAACTTACCAAGAAGTGGCTTGAAAATAATAACATTTAGTTCTTGATTGGCCTCCACAGTCTCCCAATCTTAATCCTATTGAACATAAGTGGAATAAGATTGACTGACATCTTTGTCATCTGTCTAATAAGTTTGGAACAAAAAAAACCTATGGGAAAAAATCCAGTGTATTTGAAATGATATTGAGATTGAAGTATATTCCAAATTAATTGAATTGATGCCTAGTCAGATAGAAGATGTTATAAAGGCTAGAGGTGGGTATACAATATGGTAATATAATAGAGAATAAAATACTTATTGTAGCTTTTAGATTATACATGCATATTTAGAAATTATTAGAATAAATGCCATATTCGCTACTATTTGTACTATTCTAACAGTTTAACGGTTTTAAATAAATAAGTCTATAAACTAAAAAATCCAAATTAGAGCGATTAATACTAATATAAAAATAAACCTTGTCTGAAGGACTTCAATATATATATAGGATTTGTTCGTGCTGCCACCAGCAATAATTAACAAAATATTTAACTTTTAAAAAAAATTTCAAGTGATGCAATACTTTTGCGAGCCACTGTATATAATATACAATTATTAAGATAGCTGCGATAGTTAATATAGTTGCGATAGTTGATATAATTTTACTATGAAGCTAGCATGTACTGTATATAAGCAAGGGAAAAAGTCTCAAATAAATCTTTAACTTCTACAACAAGATAGTGCGACCATAAAGGAATTTGGAAAAGTTTTGAGTAGTTATTCACTGTGAATGCTACATTGCTACAATAGGAAATCTCGAGCATTGCCTTCGCGGCCTCTATCTAAGCTATCTCTTGTTATCCATGGGTTCGTTTTTACCGTCACCACCACTATTTATCCTATATTTAATATTGGAACATAGATAAACATCAAAATCTTATAAATACGGTGGTACATATAAATCAATACTCTCACCTGAATTTGTTCATTATAAATTTATACGCATCATAAGCATTTGCAACCAATAGGGACTTTGGAAATTTTTCACGAATAATATCTTTAGATACCCAAGCTTGCCAGCAATCGATAATGATTTCCTCAGCTAAATAGTCGGCAAGTTTATCTTTTTCAGAAAATCTTTCGGATCGTAAATAACGAAACATGAACCTTTTTAACGCGGTTGCAAATGCTTCATGTGGAATTCTAAGTTTTCTAATACGGTTTCTACCAACACCATGTGACAGTTCAAAATCTACTCCAGCTACTATTTCATCTTGTAACTGTTTTGATAGCTTGTATTTATATTTTTCGTCAAGAGATTCAATTTCCACTTCTGCCACCTTTCCTTCCACCATCTCATATAGGGATATCACGTGTTTTAATCGTAATTCTTTGGTCATTTTACAGAACTGGTCACTTCCGGTTAATGCTGATAGCTTTATCCATTTACTGAGGTAATCAATAATGTTCATCTCTCGATCTCCCAAAGTTTGTTTCAAAAAGAAAAGTAATATCTCGAGTTCAGATAAGAGTTCAGTTGGATTTTCGGGGAGTGGAATCCCAAGTTTGTCAGCAGAGATCACTTCTTGAGGAATAAATTCTCTAATTTCGCTCAGAATTGTTGGATAGTTTGAAAATAGTTCCTGGTGATATGTGAATGTGTCTAGCCAGAATGATTTGTGACCCTCACTTAAATAAACTTTGTTAAAAATCAAGGAATGTGCTAATTCTGTTTCAATTTTACACAATTCATATTGAATCTTATGTCCGTGACCAAGCCTAAGATCGCGTTGGCTATGGGAAAGCAATTGAGAATTCCATTCATAATTTATAATATTATCGTCACTTGCCTTGGAAAGAGGTAGTGATTTTATTTTATATCGACGTTGGGACGCTTGATTTCCAACCTTATCATTCAAGAATTGTTCTTGTTCCAAAAATCCTAGTGAGGAACAATCGGGCTTGATGGTTAGAACTTGTTGCAAAAATATATTTTGCAAATTCACCAGATACTCAATCGCTCCGCATATATATAAAGACTCATTTTCTTCTTCGACTAATGCATAGGACACAGAAATATTTCCGTTCATTTCAGGCATTGGTTTGATGAACTCTTGACATTTATATCGTGTAATGTGATGTCTAATTAAATTCCAAGCTTTAGAAAAATTCTCAAAAGCTTTTTTCAAATTCCCTGTAGATGGACCTTCGTTATCGAGGAATCTATTGAAAGTGAAATGGAGAGTGTCCTCCCTTTTTAAACGAAAACTTAATTTTGAAGAAAGTATTCGTACGAAATTTACAATTGGTGAAAGATTTTTTAGTAATGATAGTCGTTCTTCATATTCAAAGAATAACGATAAAAACGGAAATTCTATAGCAAAATTTTGATATCTTGCGCAATATGTCCGCAAATTTTCAAAGCTTGCTTCAGTAGTCCGTCTCCAAATTCCAGGATAAAAGTTGTCATGACAATCTTCGTCACCTAAAGTTTCGTTGATCTCGCTTTCGAGCTTATGTTGAACATTTTTCACTAGCTTTTGGAATTCTGACGCAGTACTATGAGCGTTAATTACCTGGGAAGTGATGTAACGATGAGTAAATTCAAGTTCCCAAAGGCGCCGTTTTTCCATGGTGTCCAATCTCACGAATGTTGTGATTGGATTTTTGGCCATGGAAGATAGAATGGAGTGTAAAACAAGCGCCAAGGTTTCATCGTTACAATCAAAAAGACATGTTAAAATATGCCAGTCATTTTCAATGTGTCGCTTACAATATTCAATAGGTTCTTTAATCACTTTTGGATCTTGCAGGTTGTTGAAGAAGTCCTGACAATCTTCACGCGAAGTTGCAGCAATAAGCGTATGCACGAAAAGATGCAGCACGCGATAAGATGCCGATGTCATATCACGAATACGATAGTTGGAGTCTTTCCTGCTTTCAGTAGACTCATAAGCATAGCCCGTCCGTTCATTTGTCTCTTCATTTCCACGAATTGTTTGAGCGTCAATACGTCTATTTCCAGGATTGACCTTATTGTTTATTCCTCCAATACGACTTTTACATCGCGGACAAATGCCCTCTTCTCTTGTGTCACCACACTCGGTAACAATGTATTTAAAACCACATTCGCATTCGTAACTATTAAAGAAATATTAACTAGAAAAATCACAGATTTGGGGTTTTTTTTTGAAGCACGCACCGTGTAAATTGACCAAGCGCCTCTCCGATTTCAATAAGAATGTTCGCATCAACGTCTGAACTGGATGTTAGTATGTATGTATCTTTACAAGTCTTTAATGATTTCAGATATGCAGCTAACGGAGAATTTGATGCAGAAAGGCAAGAATGAAGTGCGATGATGTGAACAATAACCGACCGAATCAATAGCTCCGCCTGACTTATTTCCGGTGATATAAGATAAAGTTGATGGGTATTTGTGATGAAAGATAATAATTTTTCTCGATAAAAGTTGTCAAATGGCATATTTGATAATTGAGTTTGCAAAAATTGAATCATCGTTTTTTCGTGCAGGCTTAATTCACGCAAGGCGCATATGTCCCGAAGGCGAGAGATGGCAATCCCCATTAAAGACATCTTTTTACTTATTGATGAGTCAGTTAAAACATAATTTAGAAAATTTTCGGCTTTCATATGCTGCCCGCGTGTGTACAGTGGTTCAAATGCTTCCTCTGCTTCGTTATATTGATCATAGCAACGATAAGGCACGAAGCCCATTCGATTGTCATCGTCGCTCCATTCGAGATCATTTAGCCAAGGAAATATTCCGCATTGAACTTTACCAAAACATTTAATCTCATGCAATGAAAGTCCCTTGGCATATAAATCACGAAGGAAATATAATTTTAACGAACGAATTTGAAGTGATTGGCGTTCCATAGCTCGATTGATATTTTTAACTAGCCTATTCATATCCACATCGACGTTAAACTCTAAGGGTTCTCTCGTGGCGTCCCTGATCGACACCAATGATTTCCAAAGGTTGTTCACAAACTCTTTGAGTAAGGCAACAGCCAATATGGACTGTAAAGGTTCGACATTTGTGCTGCGTAAGATATTGACTGCATCCTGGAAACTATTTAATAAATCTTGGAACGAACAGAAAGAAAAAAAATTTCTTTGCATCGCATCAACGCACAAGGCAAATATAGGAGAATCCAAATGATTGCTTTTGAGAGCAGCGTTTATTGCATTTAGATGAATAGAGTCATCTAAAATGGCGGACGTATTTTGAATTATTCTGGGAAGGGTCACCGATTCCATTTTTATGACCTCAATCAAAACACTTGATAAAACGGAGCCAAAAAGAGGACATGATTCTTTTCCGAAAAGTATTTTATAAAGGTGAATACGCAATGGTGAATTTAGCAAAATAATTTCGATGCATAGCCGAAAGAATGAACATTGTGATGCTATTGTTTGTTCGGTGATCGGAATTTTGTTAAAAAGTTCTAAAATATGTTCAACAAATTCTTGGGAGAGAATATTTTCGGAATCTGACATTTGGAGAAGGTTGATGGCATCAGCAATATTTGAAATTTCAATTAATCGACTAGAAACCAGTTCATTGCATATGCGTAAAATTTGTAGACTTCTTGACCCCGGGACTCTCTCAATATTGGAGCACAATGACAAAATGTTGACGACTTGGAGTTGCCAATCCTGTAAAATATTTTTGACATTGTCTGCAGATTCACCTCC